TATGTCATGTCATGATGTCACCCCATGACATCACGCATGTGCAGTACACAATAACAGTGCGATCTTGTGGGAAAAAAACACTAACTGCAATGTAACAGTGAAAATCACTGTTCCTGTCTACATGTGTCCCATTCCAGCAAGTCATCGTTCAGCTGCTACAAATAGACCATAGTAGAGGACACAAGAGAGAAATACAAAAGAGGGGGATATCATATCCTATAAAGCCTGCAACAAGGTCACAATTGACACCTTCATAATATCAGCTGCATGTCATAGTTGCATAATTGGGTCACCATTAACCCCTACCTAGTTCATACAGGAGGGGGGAAAAACATATCCCATAATATCTGCAACTAGGTCACAATTATCCCCTGTATGATCACAGTTAATGGGATGCCATATTTATATGATTGGGTCACAATTAACCCCTGCTTAATGGCATGCAATATTTGTCACTATTAAACCCTACTTAGAATACACCTTTATAAAACACCCTATCATCTTTATAAACCAGCCTTCTTTAACCACCTTTACTCCCTTCCTGCCCAGGCCAATTTTCAGCTTTCAGTGCTCTTGCAATTTGAATGACAATTGCGCGGTCATGCAACATTGTACCCATATGAAATTTTTATTAGCTTTTGTTACACAAATAGAGATTTCTTTTGGTGATATTTAATCGCCACTGAGGTTTTTATTTTTTGCACTATAAACAAAAGAATTTGAAAAAAGTTTCTCTTTGTTTCTATTATAAACTTTTGCAAACAGGTCATTTTTCTCCTTCACTGATGTGCGTTGATGAGGCTGCACTGATGGACACTGATAGGCACTGATGAGGTGGCACAGATAGGCAGCACTGATGAGCACTGATAGGCTGCACTGATGAGGTGGCATTGATGAGGCGACACTAGTGGGCAGTGATGAGGAGGCACTGATGATGCTGCACTGATAGGTGGCACTGATGGGCACTGATAGGCGGCACTGACGAGCGACACTGACTGGCGGTGCTGGCTGGCGGCACTGACTGGCAGCACTGACAGGCAGCACTGCTGGGCACTGAGGGGTACTGATGGGCGCAACTGCTGGGTGGCACTGCTAGGACGCACTGATGGGTGGCACTGCTGGGCACTGGTGGGTGGCACTGCTGGGTGACACTGCTGGGCAATGATAATCAGTGCCCTGATGATCATTGCAGATGTTTTCTGTGACATTTGCCACTATCACAGCATGAGGAAAGTGCTGCCAATAACCAGCAACTGTATTTACTTTCATTGGACACAGCTGATCATGTGGTAGAAGGCCGCTGTGATTGGCCTTTTACCTCACCATGTGATCCGCTGTGTCTGTGGGGGCGTGCAGGAGGTGCCTTCTGGGAGGATGCCATATGACACCCTCCCAGAACTGGACAACCGTGCTGTAGCCGTCTTTTAGCTATAGCGCGGTTGTGAAGTGGTTAAAGGGACACACACCACATATCACAAAATCTTACGAAATTACATGAACAATCCAGAGTAACATGCATTTAAGAGCATAGAAATCTCTACAATAAACAAAGGGCAAAAAAGTGAACCCCTCATTGAGGCCATGGGGAGAGTATGATCCTAGGCGGAAGATCCATCTTGCTTCTAATTTAAGAAAAATCTTATCCAGGTCTCCTTTCTTGGACCCAATTTTCCCTGTTGTGCCACTCAAAATGATAAACATTCTGGTCTACCATTATGCTTTTTCCTGATATGTGTGGTGATTGGCCTGTCCTTTTTTAAAGTAACATCATTACTATGTTACAAAACACCCCGTCTCAACTGATAAATCTTCTTGCCCACATAAATAAGTGGGCAAGAACATTTTGCTACATAGATAACACCTTCCGAACTACAACAAAAAAAAATGATTTAATTGTAATAGTTTCACCATTTTTGGGATTAACAAACTCCCTAACCTTTGGTACATAGTGGCTTTACAGTGCCCACATTTATATATACCTGTGGGTTTTTCTGGTAGCCAAGTTAACGTTTGGCAAGAGCTAGGTACTTTCCCCATATGGCTATGTACAAACCTATCACATAGACTTTTGCTTTTGCAATAGGTGATTGGGGGGGGGGGGTTTGGTAGCACTTTTGACAGATCTTTATCATCTAGCAGCCCATGCCTATATCTTTTTACAATACTAAAAGTTTGGCCAGATTATCTACTGTATGTTCCTATAATCCTGGTCCCCACCTACTCTTCAGTACTCCATTTCCTTGGTGTTAGTAGTGACTCTCTAAGGATCTTTTTTACTTTCTCAAAGGATCTTTTCAGATCACCCGTTCTATATCCCCTTTTGGTGAATTGTCTAAATAGTCTATCGGTTTCTTTCCTAAATGCTCCTTCTGAGGAACAGTGCCTTTTTTCTCTGAGGAACTGTCCTTTTGGAATGCCTCTTTCCCCCCCTGCTGTATGAACTAGATAGTGGTTAATGGTGACCCAATTGTACAAATATGACATGCAACTGATATTATGAAGGTGTCAATTGTGACTTAGTTGCAGGCTTTATAGGATATGATTTCCTGTCTTTTGTATTTCCCCCTTTTGTATTGCTCTTTTGTGTCCTCGCACTATGGTCTATTTGTAGTGGCAGGAGCAGTGATTTCACAGTTACATTGCAGTTAGCGTTTTTTTTCACATGATTGCACTGTTATTGTGTACTGCGCATGCACGATGTCATGGAGTGATGTTATGACACAACATAAATTAGAAAAGGATAACGACAATGTAGTAGTGGTTTATGTATATTTTGCTAGGCTTGCATAATCCTTGCATAATCCTTAAAAGGGTGACACTGGGATATTTGACTTATTATTACTTGTTTTCATCCATTCGGTATAACATCTTTGTGGAGCTACTACTTTGACCATCCACTCATATGAAAAAATGGTGCTATATGGCAATCTCCCGTTAATATGCATATATATTACTGACAATTTTTGGGAAATATGAAGGCGATAGTGTTACACAAACATCATTTTTAATATTATTACTATAATACAAAAACTCTAACAAAAGTTTAGGAAACTAGTCCTCCTCTTGGCTGTTTAGTGAGTTGGTATATGTACCCTTGTTCTTTCTTCAAATAAAAGCACATCAAATAATGGGTGTGGGCAAATTGCACAACAGTGGGGGAGTCTTAAAGTGTTACTTAACCCAGAACAGTAAAATCAATCTATATATGTAAGCTCGAAAGAGCAGGGCCCTCGAACCCCTCGTGTATTGTTTTGTTACTGTATTATCTCATGTTCTTTCCCACACTATAATGTACAGCGCTGAGCAAACCTTTCTGGCGCTATATACTGTATAATAATAATAATATGTAAATCATGCTTGTTAGTTATACTCACTGTGGAACCTAAGGGGTTAATCCTCTGCATTGTGTAAAAAGGATGTTTGATCCTGTCTTCTCTGATCCTCCCCATCTTCTACTGTCCTCAGTCCAGCTGCTGATAAAACAGAGCCTTGGGGGGCAAGCTGCACATGCTCAGTTTGGTAAGTATTGCTAGAGAGTTTTTTTTTTTCTTGGGAGAGTGCATGTTATCATCTTAGGGCCAATCAGTGGTGTCCAGACAGGGGGTCAGGGGTTATGCAGCCTCATAGGACAGTCAGGGGAAAATTAAAACCCTCTCCTACAAGCTTTAACTAGTGCTCTACTGGACACCGATAGCCGCAAAACTGCTATATACTGCTGATGAGAAAAGGTATTTAGCAATTTATATTTACTAAAATAATTGCATTTCCATGTTCTGCATACTGTGGGAGACCGTTAATAGTGAATGCAGGGTCATGGGTTTAGTAACACTTTAAATACCGCCGCCTGACCATCATTTCCTTATATGAGAAAAGTTATATGACCGATCATTCAGTAAGAGGCTGCATGTCTGAGGTGGTGGATTCACAGTGTGAGTGTACACTCTAAACGCACACGTTCCTGCATTAAAAATGGCTGTGTGTATAAGTGGGTGCTGCAGCGACCGTCAGCTGGAACTGAATAAAATCAGCAAGGGAGAATGTCACCAGCACACCAAGGATCACCAATATGGGTCCAAAAGTTTTAATGAACGATCACATAGTTACAGCAAGGGAACGTTTCGGAGTCTCACAGGACCCTTTCATCAGGCATGTGACAACTGAATTCACAGTGTACACACTGTCAATTGGTTGTTGTCACAGTACTCACTTGGAGGCGGAAAAATCAAGCACTTTGTTGCACTTTATTGATTGGACTTAAAACACATGCTGTTTATGGTTATTTATTGATTTATCTCATTCACTGTAGCACTTCCAATGCAATTGTAATGCATGTCATTTGTGATATTTATGGTACTTGGAGAAGGGCACCAGCAATCTCCTGACATTTCTTGGGAGAAAATAACAATCTCAAAGGCCGCAATCACACCTGTGCATTCCAGAAATGGAAAATAACATGCTAATTGGTAATGACATTCGAAACACAGCTATGAAACACGTGTTCTGTTGCAACGCCAAGCACACAACAAAATTCCAAAATGCACAGTAAAAAAACCACATGTAGTTCAATGCCCGAAAAGGTATGGACGCTACATTGCTACATTTGTTGCACATAGGGCAGTCCATTCAAAGAAATGGGCTGATCTATGCTGTCATATCAGCGGGATAAGCTGGTATGAATGCAGCCAAAGACTGTGAAACTTTGATGGTAAATGGATTCCAATATAAACTTACCTTGGAGGTGACTGTGAGCATTTTTCTTAGCGATCTGCATAGCCATAATCATGAAGGCTGTACTGTTGAGACCTGAAGGTAGATGGAACCTAACTATATTTATCTTTAGTGTCTACGGCACCTACACATTGGTAGACTGGATTCCACAGATTCCCAAGTATAATTGATGAGTTTTTTTTACAGGTTTATTTTATTTATTTTGCTGTCTGCTTTATTTTGCTGGCTGTTAATTCTTAATTAAAATATTTATATATTTTCTTCCTTCCTAGACAAGGGGATATAACATTGCCACCTTACTACCAGCCTGAAGAAGATGACGAGATGCCATTTATCTGTTCTTTATCTGGTGACAATGGAATCATGGGATGCCATGAGATTCCACCTCTTAGGGATCGGGGTCATGAATGCTGTCTAGATAAAGAAGACTATTATTATTACAACTCCATTCATCAGGAGTTCAATGTCAGTGGCATGTGTGTCAACTGGAATCAGTACTATAATGTTTGCCGTACCAGCAACACAAACCCTCATAAGGGTGCCATCAATTTTGATAACATTGGTTATGCTTGGATAGTCATTTTCCAGGTACATAAAATTTTATATTATATGGATTACCTTTTCAATATGTTATAGATTGTAAAAATAAATGGAAAACCTGATGAGTTACAGTTTTGTACAACAGTCCCTATGAAGATAGAGATTTGAAGAGTGGAGTTATAATTAAAGGGATGGAAACATTCTAAATCTGATATAAGGAACAATGGTTACATTGGAAAAGAGAGATTGGTTGTAGTACAGAAAGAAAAAAAGTATTACTTGTTTAAATTACAGTCAGTAATGCAGATCACTCTCTATTCCCTAAGACCAGCAGGCATGTTAGTACATGTAGTTCCATGGCTTTAACTTGCAAGGTTCTGCTGTTACCTGTTATCCTATAAGACTTGTGTTTAAGACTGATTACAGAGCATGTAAGCCCTACATTTCATATTCCTGATATGTGCCTGCTGTACCATGTAGTTGTATGAAGGGTATCCTGTTCTCCCTGTATTGCTTCCTTTGTGTGAAATCACTAGTATTCCTGCTATCCATTTAAAAACTGACTACACTAGACAGGAGAACACACTGTGGTCAGTTCCTTGGCTATGTTGGGAACTCAGTGTACTCTCCTAAAATGTTTAGACTTCTCCTGACACCCCCAGCCCCGCACAGCCTTTTACTGGGAAGTTCAGTGAGCTTCTGTTTCTCATCCCCCAGCTCTTACGCAGCTGTGAACGGAGGGAATGTGATCACTTATAAAAAAAAAAAAAAAAGGGACAAAAAGTGTTTATATATTTTTTTTATATTTATACACAAATGTATTTCCTTTCATTTCTACTTTAAACTGAATGAGTTTGTTTTACAAGGTGAGCGTTTACTTTTACTTTAACATCCTGGTGTTGATTCACTGAGCTATGCACCCAGCCATCTCCCATCTCCCTTTCTATTAAGGCTTGGTTCACACCTATGCTTTTTGCTTTTTTTTTTTTTTTAATTTAAATATTTATTGGTTTTCAAAATATTAGGAAAATTAAAATCCATAATATAATTTCTTTACATTCATATAACAACAAAAACCAAATTGTTCATTCATTTCCCATATTTTCCTTATTTCTCCCATCCCTCCCCTTTACAAAATCTAAAGTCACCCCCCCACTCTTCCCTTCCCCTTCCACTCTTAGGCAGGAGAAAAAGAGGCTTTAAAGGTGTTCTTGTTACAGATGGGTAGGAATAAAGAGAGACCTTTTTTCATCAATTCCCCTTTGATCTAAACTCTTCCCATTTTTTCCATTTCATATAATATGTTGCCAGCCTATCTTCTTGAATATAAAGCAATCTCTCCAATCTAACAATATGGTCCATTCTATCTATCCAGTCTTCCTCTTTTGGAGCTTCTACTTGGCGCCAAAACTTTGGAATCAAACCCTTGGCTGCATTTAAAAAGTACCCTACTCCTGATTCTTTATATTTATTTACTGATAATTCTGTATTATGTAAAAGGAAAGTTCCAGGATCCAAACTAATATGAATTTCCGTTATCTTTCTAATTTGATATACCACTCTTCTCCAGAATACTTGTATCTTTGGACATTTCCACCATATGTGATAGATCGTGCCTATCTCTCCACACTCCCGCCAGCACAAGGGTGTGATTTCTCCCCACTCATTTTATGTTCTATACTCGGTGTAATATATCCTCTTGTCTATCATTTATAATTCATTTCCACCTCACGTGCGCTTATTTTTTTCTGTTTACCTTCATCTATCTCCACCTCCAAATCTCTTTCCCATTTTTCTATATACATTAATTTTTTTCCACCCATATCTAACTCAGTGAGAATTTTGTATATTTTTGCCGTACCGTGCTTTCCATCACCCCGTGAATCCACAAGCCTCTCAAACAAATTCCAGTCCGTTCTAGTTCTCAAAGGCTTAGGCAATTTCTCCACAAAACATTTTAATTGATTATATCTCCAACTATTTATCTTAGTGAAAATTTTTCCTTCTTCCTTTTCCAAGTCCCCTTCTACCTACTCTTAGAAATTTCTTCTTGCCTCTTTGCATTCCTGCTTCCTTCTAGCTGTCCTGTGTGTCTCTGTGCACCTGTTCCCAGTAACTGCATGTTTTTATACACACTTGCCAACTTTGGCTGTACTCCCTACTGCCCTGTAATCCCTGAGCTTCAGAGCTGCAAGAGATTATTATCTTTTTATCAGTCTTTAGTTCCCAGTAGCTGTCTGTTCAGGTGAGTTGGAGAACCACAACCCAGGAATCGTCTGCAGTGGATCCATCTCCACCTTCAGGATCTTGGCCCTCACCTTTATTGTACATGTTGGCATGCTGGGTTCTCCCTAGACAGTACCAGTAGGTATCCTTCCTGTCCTAGACTCCTCATGTATCCCATTTGTATTTCTGTGTACCTGCATTCCCTGGGACCCCTGTGCACTTCCATGTATTTTACATATTGTTACTTCTCTGTTCCATTAAGCTCAGTATTCCACTGCTGCCAAGATATGCCTGTCTCCCTGTGAGCCATGTACCCCAGTGCAGTAAAGGTTTCTTACTAGTATTTTGTGTCTTGCCTTACTGTGAGACCAGCACCCTAGTGCAACACCATGCTCCTGCCATTCCAGCATACATTCCAGCATTATCCTGAACTGGAGTACGATCTAAGCACAACACCATCCAGCAAGTAGACGGCATAGAGGGTCCACAGTTCCAACCATATGTGACAGTTCCCTTCATGACAAGACAATTACATATAATCCAGCTACATTTAGGGCATCCCTGCCCTTTATCAAGAATGTTTATCATCAGAATGTAAAACATGAAACTGGAAAATATGCAAAAGTGATATAAAGTATTCAATGGATATCAAGAAAATACAATAATCACAACATTAATCAATAGGTGTAATTGCCAATATAGAAACTGACTCAGCATTTTGCAAAATGAAAAGTCCCTTGCAAAGAGAACAGACAATTTTCCTTTACTAAATCAACCCATCTCTGATTTCTTGTGCAATCTTGCCTATGTACAATAGGTTTCAAGGACACTTCCATAAGTAATCCGTATATGTACTGTCACATATAAGGTGATGTTCAATAACATAGTTCTTCATACCTTTGGAATTAGAGATGCTACTCATACTCACATTAGCACACTCTGAGCATGATAAGCATGGAAAGGATCCCTTTCTTGTCAGTCCCAAGAAAATATGGGTAACCTCATGTCAGGGATCACAGGGTCTACCTGTATAGATATACTCTAAAATTCCTGAATATCAAGATATGCTGTACACAAAATATGCCAGTGTCATTTGATACAAGAAAAGAACATGATAATGGCATACAAATGTCCCTTTTTACTTACCTTAACCCATGGTCACATGTCCCTGTAGCCCTGAGGGCACTTCCTATTAGCTAGCGGGGCCTTCTCAGGAGAGAGAATAGGACCAATGTCATAACAATTTGTGCCATCACAGTGTTAGATTAGTGGTCCTCGCACCAGAAAGAACAGCGGCAGGGGACCTGGATGGGTGGGAAAAAAAAGACTGTTAACAAAGAAGGAAGTTTGAAGTAAGGGTGGAAAGAATGTATTTTTATTCTGGAGTGGGGTTTTAACTAACTAATCTGAGAAACTGGGTTTTAGTAATAGACCCAAAGAAATCGTTTTTGAAGTTTTATAGACAGGCAACTCCTATTCTCGTAGCAATCAGTAATCCCAAATTAATAATAACTTCTGCAGTAGGGAATGGACACAAAAGATACATTCATCAGCTTTCCAAATAAATGTTCTGTTTATTCGGTGCATTTGACTGTTTTTTTTATGCACATGCTTATGTAGGTATCACATGACTATTACAATTATATTTAGTACATAGGCAGACTAGTTTCTTATCAGTCAAAAGAATGTGAATACTGTATGTGCAAAACATTATTAGTGCCATGTGCACAATGACTTCAGTTTGGAAAAGTTAAAATCTCAAAAGCTAGTAATAGTTTATGAACAGATGGCTTTACATGTACCACATGTATCACTAAACTGTTCAAAAAAACACAATCCTTGTTGAAAGCAATGTTAAAATGAATTTGAGGATGAGCACTATTAATCAAATACCAGTAGGGATCTAGTGTTGTCCTGCCACAGAATGAACACTCATCAATGTAGCATCTCCGTGTAAAACAAAGCATGGTATATACTACACTGGACAAAAACAGACTCCAAGTCTATTCATAAATGTGTCTGCTTATGCCAGCGTGACATTGGATCCCAAGGCAGTGACTCATTGTACATAATAATTACCTAGGAATGAAAAGTAATTATTCGCCAAAGTGAAACTCAACACTTGTGCAAGAAAATCAGTTTCCAACTCAGGATATACACCAGAATTCTGTAATAGCAATTTACAAGCACTAATATCAATAACATTAGGCAACACTAATGTTTCTACCGTAGATAAAAATCTGCAGTTTCCCTTATATATAATGCTTTAGTTTTCTGGACTAGAGGTGATAAAACTCTAACAAGTAAAGTAAAGACAATTATCGCAAACAATTATAATCCTCCCTACACTATAGGATTTGTTCCACTGCTGGATTACATGTTATTTAATGAGCAATAAATATTGCTTTCTGTGTTGCAACCTCTCCCCTGATAGGAAATTTTAAAAGAAAGGCATTTCAAAGTATGCAGCAGTACATTGAAATGCTCCTACTATCCCCTTTTGATGACATTGGTCCTCTTCTATGTATCGTCTGAGAGGACCACACCGGAAAAGACTACTAGAAAGTATGCCTTTGTTGGCCCTGACATAAAATATCCTGGCCCTTTTCATTTATAGGTTGAAGAAAGTTGTGCCATGCTATATAAGGAGTTTTTGCCTTCCTCTCGATCAACTATCTTGAAAGGGTTCTTTATATGAAAGTTTTCAATGTATTAATTAATTGTATTTTGTTTTCCTATTGGCTAAACCCACTGGATTTGTCAAAGAGAAGAAAAGG